AGTCACATTTGCAAAAATGTGACATTTGTGCTTATGTACCCACGAAAGTGGCAATTGTTGCAATCGCCCACTGAAAATTGAGGAAATTTATCTTTGCTTTGCATCACACGCGGCCGGCACAAACAATCCACATGGCATTCAAACGACCATCCATACTAATCTTCCTCTTCCTCGTCTTAACCGCCGCCGGCCAAATCACCGCCGCGGATGACCCGGTTCCGGCGCCATGGCCACACCAGTTTCACGCGCTAATGTTCATGAATTACTCCGGCGACCTCTCGATGATCGACCTTTGGTACGACTGGACCAACGGTCGTAATTTCAACATCATACAGGAGCAGCTCGGTGGGATTACCTACGACCTCGAATGGAACAATGGCACTTCCTTTATCTACACAGTCGACGAGTCAAGATCGTGTCGCTCCGTTCAGCTCGAGGTACGGTATTTTCTATGCAGGAGTCTCTATCACAGATCTGAGAATACCTTTTGGCTGTAGAATAGGGAACAAATTCGGAAATTTTAGGGTATGGTTTTCGTAATTTATGTTTGGATTGTTTGTTTTCTTGCTGTGTGTGATTTGGTCCAATTTGAAGCAATAAGAAGCTCAGTTAATGGAGGAAGATTGTGAAGTTATAGGTGTCTGGTTAGTCAATTTGATTTTGGAATTTGAAATCCTCTATTAGCTAGCTCTAACGAAACTAGAGAGTTCTATGTTGAGCTCAAGTCAGAAAGTGACTTCAGAAATCTATCATTTGGTCAAAATGAAGCTCTCTGCAGATTTTTATTGTCTCTTGTTTCTTAGTGCTTCCTCCTCTCAACTGGTCATCAAATTTCGATATTTGTGGCATTTCGTTGTTTATTGTAGCGGGCAGCGTGTAATTCGGATTGTTACCAATACTCTCTTTGTGCTTTGTATCATAAACCCTCATATCATCTGAAGTTAGCAAATCACTTTGGTGTCTAATAACAAATACTCTGCAAAATCCTTAACGAGGATCAAGAGATTAGGATTCAGTAGTAGTAGTGGTGCAGGACATGGTTTCTTTGATTTCAAGATGACTTTGGCAGAGGATTTTGAGTTTCGAGTAAGATATTGTACCTTTCAGTGACTATACATCTTTACTACGACTTGGTTGTTCGATTTCGTTAATAGTCAAGTTACGCCTACAATGATCTCGTATGAACCTGTGATGCTTTTGTAGATAGAAAGTTGCTAAATAAGATTGGAATTTATGTTACATAAGGTTGGAATCCTGCGACCAAACTGGCTAGATGGAGCAAAGTATCTAGGTCAACAAAATGTGAATGGGTTTCTCTGCAATGTATGGGAGAAAGTAGACTTTATATGGTACTATGAGGATGTTGCAACCAAGAGACCCGTCCAATGGATCTTCTATACAGGTAAACCGATACCATCGCCATGCCATTGTCTGACTTCAACATGAAATTCTCAGGTTAGACAAATCCATCTTATGTTTGCAGGGAGGGAGGCTCATGTAATGACATATGAGGTTGGTGCCGTACTAGAGGATGAGAAATGGCAAGCGCCGGTTTATTGTTTCGACAAAGAGAAGAAGAAGAAGGGTATCGCTATAGAGGGAGCTTTAAGAGAATTTAAAGAGAAGGCTGCTTTGTAATACTCATGACAACTTTTTCTTAGAATCAATCCAGAAGCAGCACAAGAACAGGAGGAGGAGAATAAATGGGATTTTATTTGTTCCCTTTGATGGCCAAGGATGATTAAAATCTCAATATTGTATAAGAACTTGAAACTTGCCAAAAATAACATCCATAGTTAATCTTTTTTATCATTACAACGATAAACTGAATTACAAATGCAAATTATCATCTTGAGACTTGCTTGAGACGAAGAGCTTAAATGACCTCATGAAAAAAAATCTCATCTAACCTCTATTAATCTAGCCTTTAAGGATGGGCAAATTTATCGAATCGAACCAGCCTGAAAATTTCCCAAACTATAAAATAACCCGATTGGAATAAATATATTCAAAACCGAATTATTTGATATCGAACCGAATTAATCGAACTAACCAAAGTTTTATATTAAAAGCTAATATTTTAAATTAAACATTTAAAAAAATATATTATAATACATTAAACATTTACAATTTTAATTAAAACTAGGCAAGATCCGCGCCCTGCGCGGGAGTGAACTTCTCGAGAAAGTATACTGCTATAATATTCATGAGAGAAAACTGTGAGTCCTCGTGCTTATACCAAAGATGATCCAAATATGTTATGTT